CACAACTCGCAGCTTCCTGTCTCTCAACCGAGGTTGTTGAGACCATTGTCCAATCCAGAGCTCACTCTACAAGGAAACTGTATGCCCTGAAGTGGAATCTTTTCACTTCTTGGTGTGAAGACCGCCAGCTCGACCCAGTTTACTGCCCAGTTGGTACAGTGCTGGAGTTCCTGCAGGCCCGTTTCTCTGCAGGGTTGACCCACTCCACCTTGAAAGTCTACGTGTCGGTGGCCAGTCAGTGGGCTGATTCAGAGCATGGTCATGCTGGGGGCGTTCCCAAAGCATTTACGACGCAGCGTCTCATTCTCTCGGGGAACCATGGTTACATTCGTAACCTGGAGACGTTATCAGTGAAGCTACTTTGGTGATGTTACAAAATAAAGTCACATAGGTTGAACAGGTACTGACCTCTAGATGGGGTCCGCTGTCTCAGTCGTGCTTGTGGTACTCTGACCTCAGGTGGGTTTATGCTAAGTTTGCTGTTGTAGTCGCTGATATTTGAACGCCGTCTACTAACTAAATCCAGAGATGAGTTGGGCGACTCTGAACCTTTTGGTCTCATCTTCACGCTTGCGTGTTCACTCGTCTCTGCATCTCTACAGACATACAGAGATAAAGCAGCATTAACAGACCAAGTTAAAGGGAAAGTGGAAAGTTTGTATTTACAAGTTGGGAAGTCGAAATTACGACGTCAGGTGTGTTCAAGTAACTTTGGCCAGATCAAGATGGTGATGTACCTGTTCTACAAATAATTCAGAAAAGATTTCTACAGCCCTACTTCTACAAAATGACAAATAAAGAATGTGCATCGGGAGTGTTTTTGCTTTTTAATCAATTTATGAAGGTGCTGTAAATTGAATCGTTATTGTATATATTCTATCTTAATTGTCGAAGTGCCGAGTGTTGCATACGCATTAAAACTGAAGTATGTTTTGAGCTAAGTTTGCATAATTTGTAATGTACTGCAAGGCAGCTCACTATGCTTTGCAACAGAGCCACAGAGTAATTGATTTAATACGATGGAGATACATTATCAGAGAAACAGATACTGACCGTGGGCTGTATGGCATGGAAGGAGGAGGAGGAATATAGAGATCTAAAATTGCAGGTTTCTCCGGACGATTGATTTGCACAGGATTTCTGGATGACTGGGTGGCAGGCACATACGATGGGCTCTAAAACAAACAAATGATTATATGAGGTATATTTACATATGATAGCCGTGAAAAAAAAAAAACCTTGCTAAATTTCATCTTATATCTTTTAAATGAAATCATCACAGAGCTTTTGGATCATAGACCTTTGATAGACCATATACCAAATTACTACAATAAGACACTTTGTACTGAAGTATTTTTTTTCTTCTCAGGGACCAGCTTTATTTTGTAAGACATGCCAATTTTTGTTGAATGCAGACTTTCTTTAAGCCTTTAATCATAGATTTTGCTAGAGCAAGAGTGGACTTACTGTACTGTACTGGTCTACTTTTGTGGAAAGAACCAATAATAGTCTTTATACTCAGTAAGTTCCTGTATGGATTATGTGAATTGCATAAACAGATATTAAGAAGGACATTTGTTGGCAAGCAGGGCTTTCATTCATTGAAAGGTAATGAAAGGAAATGTGAGTGGTGCTTGTCTGTGCAAAACTCACCGCCATAATGCTTGTGCGTTATGGATAATTGCTAATAGGGTATGTTTGTCCAATTTTAGTCCAATTGCTTTTAAGAATACAATAAGCAGCCTGATTTGAAGTAGCATTCATGTTCATACCACAAATCAAAGTGCCTCTTTATCATGGATTTTTTTTTACATTTATAATGTTTTTTTTTTATTGAAGGAAAATCGTTTTCTTCAGCTGTAGTCTACAGTCTGACCTTTAAAATTATAGCGAGGTGTTTGGGAGAGTCCATATGGACTAATATTAGCTACAGTATTTCTAAAATCAATGGTTGTGTGACATTTGGACCGGGAGTTTAATCAGGTGGAAACACACATCCTGATGTGAAATCTTAACTGCTGTTAATCAGCATAAGTCAGCTGTGGATGACGTGTGACATCAACATGCATTTTCAAAGGCAAGTTAACGTGTGTGTGTGTGTGTGTTTGTGTGGAGGGGAAGAAATGTTGCATTGTTTTAGTTCTGCAACACCCATGCAAATCCATCCACTCGTGTTGAAACAATGAAAGTTCATGGAGTTTGGCCAAATGTGAAACACAGAGAAATGGCAGAAAACGCCTCACAAGCTGTCATTTGCCTTCTACAAACAGTCTACACAAGTGTTCAAATGTTTGGGGTCGGTAGGATTTTTAAATGTTTTTGCTTACTAAGGCTGCATTTATTTAATCAAAAATACAGTAAAACTGTGAAATATTACTACATTTAAAATAATTATTTTTAATTTGAATATATTTTCAAATGTAATTTATTCCTGTGATGTAAAGCTGAATTTTCAGCATCATTACTCCAGTCTTCAGTGTCACATGATCCTTCAGAAATCATTCTAATATGCTGCTCAAGAATCAGTTATATTATTATCAATGTTCACAACGGCTGTGCTGCTTAATAAACCATGATACTTTTTTTTTTTTTTTGAGACAAAAGCTTCCTGAGAGTCTGGACTGTAGGAGAATGAGGGCAGTACCTGGATGGCCGGGGGTCTCCAGCGCATGTTCTTCAGCAGTGCGGGTGTGAAGCCACAAGTACCTGATGGTCTTTTCTTCACCATCAGTGTCACATTCTGAGGATCTTCTCTGAGCTTTTCCACCAGATTCTTCAACTGCCAGCCCACCTGAGAAGAAAGCAGTACATCTGTTTATGGGTGACTCTTATCAGTTTTGTCTTCATTTCTTGAAACCACAACTTTCTCATAATTGTTCCTTTATTGCTTATACTTGCTTATTACACGGCTCTGTGGAATACTTGATTCTGATTGGTCAATCGCGCCATCCAGCGGTATGTTATTCCCAGATAACAACCGCCAAATTGAATAACACACCGCTCATCCGGGTACTACGAGTTATCTTGACCGGTACTACTTATATGCTTAACGAGTCACTCCGCTTTCGTTGACTGTCTGGCGCCATCTTGTGACTGAAAACACTTAACCACCGCGTGAGATAACAACCGGCTGGATGTACATTATCCCTTACTTAATTACTCATAATTGTGACTTTATGTTGCATGATTGCATATATTTTATTATTCTACTTTATTATTATTTACTTAAATGGATAAATTTATTTTTCACAATTACAACTGTACAGTTTTTCTCATAAATGTGATTTTATGTCTCGAAATGTGGCTATTTTGTATTTTAAATAGCATTTTAAAATGTATTTACTTTAAACTTTATCTCACAAATACGTGTTTTATTTATTTATTTATTTTACTCTGAGACGGAAATGCCCTTGTGAAAAAGAAGTACACTTTAGAATACTATTAACTTATTACGGAAATAATATACTGTAAAAGAATTCGGTAACACTTTATTTTAGGGTCTCTTAACTAACTAGCTAACTTATTAGCATGCATACTAGAATATTAGCCATTTATTAATACTAATTAAGCACATATTAATGCCTTATTCTACATCCCTAATCCTACCCAATACCTAAACTTAACAACTACCTTACTAACTATTAATAAGCAGCTAATTAGGAATTTATTGAGGGAAAAGTCGTAGTTAATAGTGAATAAGTGTTCCCTATTCTAAAGTGTTACCAAGAATTCTACTTAAGTGCAAACTGAATGTAATGTTTTTGGGCAATTAATTCAATGTTATTTACAATTAAATGAAAATGTATTATAGTTTACATTTATATTAATTGCAATTAGTCGAATTTAAGAATGCTTTTTGACTGACTTATGACTTAAGTACACTATCTCTAAAGTATGCCGAATGTCCTGACAAGCATTTATGGTAAACTAAAACATACTTTAATGTCATTTCTATTGAAACTTGTATGTCATGTATTTAAATACATTGGTGATTACTCATTTGTAATGATGCAGTTGCAATTTAGTTCATTTAAAATATATTAACTTTTAACTTTTATACAAGTGCACACTCAATACAATTAAGTGCACTTCTTTTTCACAAGGGTGGACTTCCATAGAAATAAAACCTGGACATAAACGATCATAAATGGGGGAAAGCTGATACTGCTGTAGCTGAGCAAATGTAGTCTGAATAGCTTTATGCTGTACAAATACAAATGGGTAGGGACCAACCCAATGCTTTCTCTGTAAATATGAGGTGAATAAAAAAACAGCACTGATCCAAAACAATGATAAAGGTGTTCATAACAGTATGGTTATTCAAAAGGCCTTTCATCACGGAAATATCTCCCGCTCTCTCCCATGGATCAGGTGTACCCAGTCCAACACAAAAGCTCACCATCTTGCCTCCTCTCACTCTTTTAGGGCAGAACAATTACCCATAATCCTCCTCACTATCATGTGACAGATGCATGGACTCACCACTGTTTGTTCGTTGACTTGAATCACCTCATCGCCTGCATGAATCCTCTGAGTTCTGTCTGCTGGAGACTGAAGGGTGAAACACAGACAGACGTCATGAATCATTTGAAGTAATGCTTGTGAACACTGTTTCTTATGGATCTCGGCAATCTATTAATCACAGACTGTGGCTTGAATGATGCAGGACATTGATGCATTAACGGCAAAAAAAATACAATTCAAAGCGATCTGTTGTTCTGTTGACTCACATTTTCCGTAGTTCCGGTGATGACGTGTAGCCCATCGTAAGTGGATTTGATATACATTCCCTTTAAAAAAATAGGCAAACAATATGTAGTTGTTAAGCAATGGGCAAACAATTCCAGCGGGTCGTGTGCTAAAGTTGTTGACACTCACCAGTCCCTCGCCTGCTTTGATATTAGTGATGCTGACTTCCTCCAAACAGGTAATTTGACTCTTCAAGGGGTCAGAGGTCATCCTCATGGTGGAATCACAAATTCCGGTCAAAACTTGTGACTGAAATGAATAGAAAGAATAATGTTGTGGTATTTATGATTCATTTGGTCATGATAACTTATGCAGGACTTCATAAGGCTCAACCAAGGCTCATTGTAAAAACATTTCAATCATGACAACTCTCTGAAGATTTTAGCATGGTGATGGAAATTGCTGCTGCTGTTGGTTATTGCTGTAGTTGTAGATTATTGCTGCTGCTGCAAGCAAGTACAGGAACTTGCTACTGCCTCCGTGAGTATTTAAGACATACTGCTGCTGCACAAATAGCATATAAAATAACCCCGTAGCAGATCTATACAGGTGGAGCTGGGGAAGGTGGAGGGTTTCAGAGAAACTCTGAAAGCACGCTGCAGGAATCTCAAGTGAATGCTAGCCAGACATATAAATGCAAGGCAGTAAGCTCATTGGCTGCATATGCAGCATGAACCAATCAGCTTGTGCCAAGTCGTTTAACTCTCTGAATATCATCAGTTACGTTAACACCCCGTCAGAATGCGCCATCTAGAGTTTCATGACTGAACTATATATTTATGCAAAATATTACATTGCTTCTTGCATGTTTTGTGATACTTTTAAAGAGAAATTTCCAGTGAGTGGTTGTTGTATGTACTGTGGCAGTTCGTAAATGAAATGTCCAGCGATTGGTGCTAAAATGTTTGGAAAAAAATGTACCACTTTCCTATGCTAAACCTAACCAAAAGTGTTAACAAAAGCAAACGTGTGATAAAAATGCATTTGCTGACACAACCATCAGTCAGCTTGCTTCTACTAGTCTTTGAGCTCTTTTATCAAGATTCATTTTACGGGATTCCTTCCTGAGTGCTCTGCATCACAAGTGCAGTGCTGTACCAGGTGGGCTACCGAGCAAGTTTACTACGTCAGAAAAGCCATATATAGAAAACTGATAATGTGATGCAAATGTCAAATTGTATTTCTTTTGTACTATGGTAAGATGTTTTGAGGTCATAACAGCATTGTGCAAGGAACTGCATGGAAATAAAGCCGCTTCTCTCATCTTGATTTATTTATTTTCTTTCATTGAATGCATTCTGGGATTGTATGGAGCCTCTCACATGACATAGGAAAATAGATATTGTGCCCACAAATTAAGAATTCATTGCCACCACTTATTAATTAAAAATGTGGCAATAATTTACCATAATTTAACTATGTTTACCACTACTTAACCACATTAAATTAAAATAAGGAAGGAAATTAATAAAACATTTTCCACAAATTAATTCTTTACTATATCAATTTTTTTCTGCAAGTCATGTGCGGGGCTCTGCAGGATTGGATTGTCTGTGAAGGATATTTGGATATATGGCCATGAATCCCTATTATCAGACACTTTTGGTGGCAGAATAAATGAATCATGGGTGACAGATTGCCTGCGAATAGGGTATTTCTACAATGGCTATGATTGGTCTTTTTTTTTTTTTGGCATGGCATCACTGTTTCACCGACTGAGAATCCACAGTTAGGGATCATTAACACAAAATGAGATGATTCTAGTGGGTTCCAGAAAGATCTGCACTCTGTTAAAGTCAAACATGGGGATGACTACTTGATGGCATTGCAAATGATCGTTGAAACTTGATTATATTGATTATTCTATCCTGTTGGCCTCAAAGGCTGAGATACTGTAAATACTAACCAAAAATCATAACTTATCAAATCCCAAAGGATAAAATGAAGAACTGCTCAATATTACATCTTGCAACTTACTCTGTTTCACTTGCACACTATGCATATTTAGCTCAAATCATTAAGTGTGAATGCAATTTATGCTTGTTTGTACTGTACAAACTGTTGAAATTATTGTATTGCATCCGGAACATTCCTTTAATGGAGATTGTGAGATACTGTTATCTACCACAGGATGTTTCAGTGGTTCCTGTGGACAAAATCTCGAACTGAACAATAGAGTTGCATCTCCACACTCACAATGAACCCAAATGCATCACAGATAACAGCTGAATCTCTGACCTGAGAGACGTTTGCATGTTTGAATGATAAATATGCTGTGTTTGAAATAACTGCGGCAAGACTTACCACTTCTAATATCTTCTCCTCCATTTCAAACACTGTGCAGTCCTGCAATTAAAAAGGGAGGATTTGCATGAGATGCCACATTATGTTGAGTTCCCACAGGAAAATATGGAATGGTAAACATGAAATCAAAATACCAAAGAAAGTATTTAAGAAATGTAATATGAGGATTCGAAATATGGAATGCGCTGACAAATAGATGGAGAAGGGCCTATCGCCAGTGTTTAATTTTGATTTAAAGACAAGTTTGACAGGATAATTGCTGCAGAGTTTGAGGGCGGATGTGCTTGAGACTATGTAGAGCAAAGACATCGATCACAGTTATGAGCCGCCTATCCCCGCTGAGCTCCGGCTCAGTAAAACCATATGTTTCTCTGTGCATCAAGACATACCTTACTACACTGCTGTTCAACAGTTTGACATGCTGCTTTTGAAAGTAGCGGTTACTTTTATTCGCACAGTTCGCATTTAATTGATCAACTGACATTTTTACAAATTACTATTTCTATTTGAATGAAATGTTATTTACATTTTTTGTTCTCAAATAATCCTCCTAACTCTGACCATAAAGGATTTCACACAGGACACTTTTTTTGTGTGTTTGTAAATGCAGCTAGACGTTTTAATGAAATGGAGTTTAATGTATGAGTCTCGAGAAGTGTCAATATGTTTGGCCAATTCAGAAAAGAAGTCTAATTCTGATATGATGTATATCATTTAAATTTGTTTCATTTAGTTTATTTATTTTAGTTTTAATTATTTTTGGCAACTAGCTAAAATTTGTATTTTAAGTAACAAAAGTGTTTTTTTCCCCTGTTTTAGTTTTAGTTAACGATAATAAACCTGGTAACTATTTTGACATTTTTACTAAAAATTACAAAAAGAATTTAAAAAAAGAAAATGCACTCAATAAGAATGTAATCATTCAATTATAAAAGTAATTATAAAATAAAAACGTTTATATTTCATATAGTAATTATAATTAAAATGATCTCTTTTAATGGAATTTTTGAACAGTTTCATACAAACTCGGTGAATGAAAAGTAGCAACCTGCAAATGTTACCTTAAAGACCAAATAAAACACTTTTTTTTTTGGCATAAACAGTGATGTCAAATAACATTTTTGACTTTTGACTAGTTAATTTAGATGTTAGCATTTTTAGGTTACCGTTTTTTCAGTGTGCAGTGAATGCTTGCAGAGCTTTGACTAGGAGATCAAAGCTGATGAACACAGTAACTAACCTTCTGGACAGTTGTGGTCAGTTCCAGACAGAGCTGAATTATCTTGTTTTTGGTTGATGTAAAGTCACTGATTCCTGTCAGGGGAGTCCTGCACACAAACAAAGAGAACAAAGTGTAACTCATCCAAACGCTCATGAGATGTTCACTCATCTGGTACGATCTGGTATGTGATGTTTCAAGCCCAAACATGCAGTGTACGTATGTGTTCATGTGTGTCTGTATGACATCACGAGGAAAGATTTAAGGTGTTTTGACTGAACACAGAAACCAAAGCAATAGTTGGTGAGACAGCTGCCAGTAAGAATGTGACACTGAAACATGATTCAAATAAAATCTTAAATATTCAAATAAATCTACATTCAAGGACATTCAAATTTTTTTCCTAAAATTGTAAGGATTGTATTGAATGATAACGTTAAGAAGATGTTTTGTTAACACTATTTTAAGAACATTTCTTCCAAACATTTGCACAGCCTTTACATTATGTCTTACTATGGAAGTCAGCGGGGGCCATCAACTGTTTTGTTACCCACATTCTTCAAAATATCTTCTTTTGTGTTGTACAGAAGAAAGAAACTCATACAAATTTGGAACAAATGAGGGTGAGTAAATGATTTTCATGTTTTTTTTGTGAGTGTGTGAACTATCCTTTTAAGTGCAAAATGAATGTAATAATTTTTTTCAGACACTTGATGCAGTAGCATGTTAACAGCAATTAAATGAAAATGTACTATACTGTAGTTTAAATGCTGAAATTTAGAGTGCTTTTTTGACCCACCTGTTGTCACTGAAATATGGTTAAAGTGTACTGCCGAATATACTGACAAGCATTTATGATAAACTAAAACATACTTTAACGTAATCTCTATTGAAGCTTGTATGTTATACATTTAAATATATTTTGTAATTACACACTTCTAATGATCAAGTTCTAGTTTAGTACATATACTAACTTAAAATATCAAATAACGCACTACAGTTAAAATTAGTTAGACAACACATCAGAATAAGTGTATTTGTTTAAAGCAAGTTAAAAGATTATTAAAACGTGATGATAAAAAAAAAAAATACTTTACAACACTACACTTTTGCAATTAAGTGTTTTATAAAACAGTTATGAAAGTGTCTTAATATTATCTAAGAACTGTTTTTAAAAATATACTTTTAAGATTTGAAGTACTCTACATGTGCAAGCTGTCCCATTTTACTGTCAGGCTGAAGTTTAAAACTTAGGTTTAGGGGTTTGTTCAAATCCCTAATCATAAGCAATAATAACAGTGATGCTAACAGTACCACAAACAAATGCCTCGCTTATCACGCGCTCAAGCAGTTTCCGTTTGTGTATCTTCCACTTTAATGATATGACATGTGAAGTATGTGGTGTTTGTAATGCCATGTGACAGTGGCTACAGCCCACGGGTCATTCTCACAACCTTTCCAGCTAAAAATCCCATCACATTCCATCGCACCGGTCAGAGCCGTCGCATGAACATGGTCACTGCCTGACTTCAAAGGGATTCCAGAAAGCCGTCTCTGCCCTAAACCCAGCCAGACACCGACCGACAGACTTGAAGTCTGCCAAAAAGTGCAGAGACTTTGGCCTGGTCAGCTACAACAACACAGAATACAGGTGTTTGAGAGAAATATTAACCTGCACTGAGTTCATAGAGGATGCAGGTGCTCTTCTGGAATCTTCTCCTGTTGTTGTATTATAACAAAGCTTTAGCTATGATGAGTTCATGATGGCAGAATTATTAAAGGAATGAAAAAGGGTAATCCACCCTCTGTTCATTTCATGCTGCCCTCTTCAACTGCCAGAAATTAAGAGCAGAATCTCTCACAGTGTCACAATACGCTGGAGCAAGGGACGAGGAGACGTGGAGATTTCACAAAATGAGAGTCTTTAATAATCCAACAGGGAGACAGAGCACAAGGAAGACGTTCACAACAAGTAGACCCAACGAAGAACTAAAGAACAGACAGGAACTTATAAACACAGGATAATTGCAAACACAGGTGAGCGGAATCATCAATCACTAAACAAGAACAGGAAACATGACCAAAAAAGGAAAACAGGAACTAAGACAGAGGTAAAACACGACAGACAGTCCAGAATCCTGACACACAGACTGTAGAGGCTGTTTAATGTTGAATGAGTTTACCGTCAGATCTCAAAACAAGCATTTGATTATTTAAATCTCCTGTTTAAAAATAGGAAAATAGACACGCCATAGTTGAAATGGTTTTCTGTCTTGCATTTTATCTCTCAAAATGATGGATGTCATTATAAATGTGGAGATTTTTATGTATTTAGTTGTAGGCATATATAATACATATTTTAAATTGTTGCTGCCATAATAATGACCCATTTCAAATGTTTTCTTCTCTATCTTCTTTTTGTTCTCAACAGCTCCTATTTGCTGTTGTGAGGCAGTAATGAAATATTGTTCTTGTAAATACTTTCCAGCATTTCAGTAATAAATATGCATGCAAATTACAGCAAAGTGCAACAGTTACCGTACGGTGTTCGGCAGTGGTCAAAAAAGATTTAAAGAGTGGACTTTTAATAGTTTTCTTTTTGTAAACTCAGAGATGTGGATTCGGACGGCAATTAAATTACCACAGGACCTGGATGTTTGTCAAAAAACAGTAGGTAATTCGGCTGGGGATTTTTATGCGGGTGGTGGGAGAAAAACACAGACATTCTGGATACAGACAGCAAGAAAATCACAGATTAACCCCTGTAAATGTTGACAACAGTTTAGGTCCCCACGAGAAACAATTACCGTCCGAATCAAGTTAAAAAAGGGACCAAAATACCTGAGAGAAATAAATGAGAAGGACTGAAAGAGAAGGAGCTGAAAGAATAAGAGATCTTAAAGCACTTACACAAAATATTCCAAAGCATTTCTCAGAGAAAGTTGAAACTGCGAGACATTACGTCACAAGAGGGAAATATAAAAAGTCACAAAGTCGCAGTTGTAACAAAAGTGCAGTTGTCACATAGTTAAAACTGTGAGATATAAAAAGGCGCACTTGTAACAAATAATGTCACAATTGTCCCATTTAACGTCAACATTGAGAAATATTGAAATGCAATAGTAAAAAGTCGCAATTGTGACAGTCAAAATTGCAAGATGTAAAGTCCCAATTACAAAAAATTAAATCATAAATATTTAAGAATATGTAAGATACACTTGCAATTGACAAAACTTGCAAAATTTGCAATTACAAGTGTAAGTGAATCACAATTCTGACAAGTAAAAACTTAAATTACGAAACATTAAGTCTCAATACTGAATATATATAAAAGGTCTCAACTGTGATATTAAGTTGCAGTCACATATAGTTAAAACTGAAATATTAAACTGAAATAGTAAAATATAAATTTGCAATTGTGAAGGAGTCAAAACTTCAAGATATAAAGTCCCAAGCAGTGTTGTCACGGTACCAAAATGTCAGTATTCGGTACCAATACCAGTGAAAATCCACGGTTCTCGGTACCAATTTCGGTACCAAAGCAAAACACAAAAACATGCTAATTGAACAACATTTTTATTAATAACGTTAAACAAAAATTTAATGTACAAAACCAATGCCATTCTTTATACTTATTTAAAAGTGTTTCAAGTTTTCCCACAAGTAATAAAAGTATGAAAAAAGTAAACAAGTTTCACCCAAAAGTTTAGTCATAGTTCTGCTGCCACTGAAAAACATCTGTAAACTGTTGTCTGTTTTAGGGTTTGCTGGTGTTTCAGGATCTTCCTCAGTCTGCAGCTGTAAAAGAACAATATAATATACTTCAGTAAAGCAATGGGCTGAGTCTGACCAAATGCAACATTTGAGGTTGCCACTGCTTTTATGAAGTGTTTGCCAGGTTTTCACAACAAAACCCGCCCAATCGCGTTTCGAGGGGTTCCCCGGTAAAAATCGCGTTCTGAGGATAAAATAAGCATGTTTTGGCGGGGTTCCCCTGGTAAAATTCGCATTCCAGGGGTTAAATATCATGCTAATGGGGTCGTTTTTCAACCCGCGGACATGAAAAACAACACGCGGTAACAGTGTTCAGCAGTCCAATTTCGCGGGAAAACCACAGACTTGGCAACACTGGAAGAGGATAGCTTTCTGATAGCGCATCAAGAACCGGGTTGACCGGGTACTCGGTACCACCGGTACTTAAAAAAAACCTGGTACCGTAACGTTTTCATTTTTTTAGTACCGACTTGGTACCGAAATACCGGGTCTTTTGACAACACTAGTCCCAAGTGCAAGAAATGAAGTCACCACTATTTCATTTTTTAAAATCAGAGCTGGAAGCAGGCTCAGCCAACAAAGCGTCACATTTGGGGCCCACTAAAATAGAAATATTTAGGCTAACCATGACAGGTATTGGTAAGTTTGTAGTTGTTTTGATGAGAAAAACTAGTGTACTTTTTGTATTTGGAAAGGTGTTTTGATTTGTTGTTTTTTTACTGGTAGCATTAGAAATTGTTCAGACTCCTCTATCAATAGTCCAATGTTCATGGACATGCAATGGATTCCAGATGAAATGTTTTCTATGGATCACATACATTTTTGAGTCTGTCTTCTACTAAACTGTGGTACTTTACCGGAGTGGAACTGAGCCAGAGAGCTTTGGGGAGCTTAGCACGTCCTCGTGAAAGCAAATTTAAAAATAACCAGAGACCTAACAGATACAACACAGAGTTAAGATGAGGCTCAATCCGCCGAGCGGAAACTACTGGAACAATGGCGTGACATATTTTCCTGCTCTAGCTTGCTGTGTGTTTGTCTGTATGGGTTTGCGTGTGCGAGCGCTGGGCGGGGGGCTCTCTGACAGGTGGGTGGGTCACATCTGTTTCCTGCTCTCCAGGAGATATCTTCCAGAACATTCTACCCATGAGTGCTATATGCTGACCTCTCACAAATTCAACACCGCAATGTCTATTCCAGCCCTCATACACTTCCTCTGTGGTTCTCCGCTCACTACTGCTTAGAACAGGTGATGCTTAAAAACAAACGGAAAATCTTTTCTCAACAACATCCTTCTGAAAAGCCACCCGGTCTGACAGGTAGAGCTCCAACATGTAACACCAAAACACAAAGCTTCTGCTTACTGTTTGCTGCAGGCACATTCATTCATTCAAGAAACACACCTTTTGTACAATTTTTGTACAATTATGGACGAATGTAAAGGATTAGCTCACTCATTGTTGTCATTTGCTCACTTACGTGTTCCAAACCTGTATGACTTTCTTTTTGCATATGATGACCAGGTGCTGTCAACCTCCAAAAAACACCATAAAACCACCACAGTTTTAACATAAACTAATAAACTTAATGTGATGTATATTTGTCAGTCATGCATAAATGAAACGGGTAGGAAACAAGCAAGATTTCAATATAACTGGATGTGTTTTAATTAAAAAATAACCAGGTTTATATATTTAGCATCGATCAATCTAAATTCTTTTAATCTCATACAAATGAACTAATATTGCTTGTTCCACAGCTAGCAATATTTTAACCATACTTCGTACTTTTTAACGGAATACATTTAATTTTCACAATGAACAGATTTATGCTGATTCTAAGCAATTTGAATAAATGCATTTTAAAAATATGATTTTTTAAATAAAATCAAATAGATGCAAATAGTCAATAAAAAAACAACAACTATGCAATGATTTTTTGATTTTTATGATTATATGTTATGTCGGAGACACGCTAGCTTTCCCAAGACAGACAAACTTAGAGCGGTTACAATCATCCGGGTTTAAATCACGCTCAAATTTACTTGATATTGACGCAATATTTACACTGAAGCTCGCAGGCGGCTGTGGTAAGGGGCATGATAGCAATATTTTAACCATGTTCATACTTTTTCACAATGAACAGATTTATGCTGATTCTAAGCAATTTGAATAAATGCATTTTAAAAATATGATTTTTTAAATAAAATCAAATAGATGCAAATAGTCAATAAAAAAACAACAACTATGCAATGATTTTTTGATTTTTATGATTATATGTTTCAATTATATATGACTGACGCATCATTAAGTCTAATAGTTTGTTTACGTTTAATCTGTGTAATCCAAATGGATTGAAATTTTATATGCAATTTAAATAAATCTTAAATTTAGGCCTAGAGTTTTAAAGTAATTTCGGAAGGCGGGCCTTCATTTGATACAGGAACTATTCAAGCCGTTCATGCCAGACTGGGGAGAGAGGTGTTGTAATAATGTAAAATATGTGAAAAATAATGTTTTTCGAACAACCTAGTATGAGAGCCTGTTCTAGTACACCCCCAAAACAAAATCAAGACTTTGTAAAAGAGCATAATAGGACCCCTTTAAGACACATTTGATGCTTATACATATTGTATAAGCTTCCTTACTAAAAGTACCATTTCACATACAAACAAATTACATAGAAAAATGGCGATAGAACAGAAAGTCAGTGTCATCAACATCAGTGTCTCTTTAGGGTGCAGTCTCCTATTATAAGGTCCTGTGTCAGTCTCCTATCTTGACAGAATAGACTCTGAATGCACACAGTGGACACTGTTTGTTCCAACTGACCCTCCCTATTCATATCCACCACAATGTCGGGACAGAGCGACAGCTAACACGGCTTCTGCGATAAGAATCGGCACTCTCTACAACTTTGGGTTTGTTAACTGGCTGCACACAAAAACACACACGGATTTACACAGGCAGAACGTTCACTATGTGTTTTTAAGGTGCACTTTGTGGTCATTAATACTGTCCGAGAGAACAAAAAAAAGAGCGCGGGGGGAGTCGAGGAGAAATCTTGGGAAGGAAGTGAGAGAAAACAGCTGATCGGAATGCCTGCGAAATCTCTGCTTTCCTGTTCATGGCAGTCTCCACCTATAACAGAGCTCACGCTGGGGAGAAACCTCTCCTCCGATGTTAGATAAGAGCATATGTGTCAGAATGTTAAGCTACTTACTTGTGATCAAACAGTTCTTAAAATGATAACAGCTTTATGTGGCCTGAGTAACAGTAAAATATGTCATTTTAGAGGCATGTGACTTAATAAAGCTCTTCAGAGAACGGATGTGCTTGGCTTTGACCAGTTTGGCAATGCTGGGAATAGCATACTACCATACTACTCTTACTATTTCTGTAGCAGTGTTTCCTGCATTGCTGGCCACAAGCACAGCACAACCACTTTAGTCCACTTCACAAACAAATGACTCTTAAGAGCGATTCTTTTAATGAATCAAAAAATCTGACTAATGATTCAAAACTGACACATTACTGGTTTGAATCAGTGTGACGAGTCCTTTACTTAATGATCAGATCAGATCCAGCATTCTGTATGAGGACACTGTTGTGTAGTACATATGAACAGTGTGCAGTTTTATTTATGGATATATAGATTTGTCAAAATATGCAGTAATATGCAATAGAACATAATATGCTGGGTAATATTTCCAACAATGCAATGCACTCAACGCGATTAATGAAACTGAAGTAATATCAACTTTTTGATTCCTTTGGTCTGCCAAGCCATTTTTACACAAAACTGCATTAAAAATGCTACATTTTAAAGCTGATAATGGAATACTTTCAAAATAATAAGAGAAACAGAAACATTTTTAAGCATTTCAATTAGTATTATGCTTCATTGCAGTCACATGACCTTGTCATATTGCTTGTGAGTGGATTATCTTGCCATTTTGAATTTAATTTTGTGTAAAATGTCTTTTACATTTCACGGTGGAATCAAATAATGAGTAAAGAAAGAGTTGCCACACTAGAAATTTAAGTTCAAGTTGAGTGTATTGCATTGTGTATATGCATTGCATATAGTATAGTGTAAAATTAATCATTTTAAAAAATAAGTTTAGGCATCACAACATAATAATGTAAAGTATAAAAAATGTTAGATATAATATATTGGTATAATATTGGTTATCATCAATATTACAGAGTTTTAAAGTAATCAATATTTATATAAAAATATATATTTTCAATTTTTGGGGGGGTGAACTATCCCTTTAAGACAAATTTGATGTTGCCACACTGGAAATGTAAGTTCAAGTTGAGTGCATTGCATTGTGCCAATATATTTTTATTTTTTGCACAAAATTGCATTAAAATGCAAAACTTTTAAGCCAATAAATAATGTATTAAAATACATTAATATATTAAATTAAACTTCTACAACAAATTAGTAGTATGCTACACTGTAGTCACATGATCTCATCATATTTCATGTGAGCGGTGTCCAGTAATCTTGAACTATTTTGATTATAGGCCGTTGCTATAAAATGTCTTAACATTTAGCAGTGCAATAAAATAATGAGTAAAGAAAGAGTTGCCACACTGGACATTGCATTGTGGGATACAGTATTCTATACAGTGTTGTACACTGCATAATGTTGGAATTTTAGGCCAAATCTACAGTAGATCTTAATATTTCATGAATATAGAAAATCTACATACTGCTCACAGCATACATACTAAATATTGCAGGAACAGTAAGAATAGCATGGCAGTGTGCTAGACATAACCTATGCTAAATACTTTAAAAAGGAGGGCAAAGGTCAGCACCTATATATACTTCCTGATGGAGATAAATATGATCGGACAAGGTTTCTCCGGGAAATCTGATTGGATGTGTGGAAGCAAAATCCTATCTGGACGGGAGTGAGCTTTTGGGGCAGCTGAAGTACTGACCAATGCGCAGAGGAGATCCACAGCCTCCAGAATCAGCTCCTGATGGCCGACACGGGTCACTGTCAGCTCCACCAGATCCTGATGGGAAATCTTCAGAAGCTGCTCTCCATTGATCTTCTCTCTCTCGAAGTTAGGAACATACTGCTGGAGACTGTCGTCCAGCCCTGAGAGACAGACAGAAAGTGAGAATGAGAGACAGAACACAAAGAAACTCTTTCAGGGAGAGTGTGGATCCACATGGGTTTTGACACCACAAGCGTCTGTGCAAACATTAAGATGTTGAGTCAATATAAGACATTTGCACTAGCCTGAAGAGTCCCACTCTCCTCAGTATTTCTCACGTCAAATGCCAGTTACCTGATCTGAGAACAGATCATTGCTATATAAGGGTAATCAAATAAAGCAAGATCTATGAGATCACATCACTGTCCCGTGTTTTACGTGACTGGACTCCATGTGTGTGAGAAAATGCAGTCATGCTGTCATTAATTAAAGGGGTGTTCGGTGGTTTGTTTCTAGGCTTGATTGTGTTTATGGGGTGCAGTCTAACATGTGTTAATGCGTCGTTTTATAAAAAACGCATTATTTTTCACATAATTTACCTTTATTCCACACAGCTCTGTCCCTTCTCTTACACACTAACTAACGTTAAAAAAAGTGAAATCGTAATCAACCACCCGTTTAAACAAACACACACACACAAGTTGTGTCTGACGGCTGGCACAGTAAAGCCCCGTTCACACCAAGAACGATAACTATAAAGATAACGATATTAGCGTCCACACCAGCGGACGATATCGTCTGTTTATTCTATGCGCACGCTCGTCTGCCGCTTTAAATTCTCCAGCTGTCAGTGTTTGTATCGTTCATCAGCTGGAAAAAAATCATTCTGGAAGTGATTGCAACGATGTCGTTTCTCTGTGCCTTTATCGTTATAGTTGTGGTGTGGACTCTGCTATTCTTTATTATTGAGAACGATTTTTAGAACAATATCTTTATCGTTATCTTTATAGTTATCGTGCTTGGTGTGAACAGGGCTTAAGTCTTCGTTAGGCAACTTTGCCTGTTTTTATTGTGTGATTTCAAAATACAGTTAGCAAATGATGTCAAAATAACCCTTTCATGTGAGCTCATGTTTTGCTGAAATGTAAAAATTAATTTTAGGAATTACCAACTTAATTTATTCCAGCATATAAGAGGGTTGGCATAAATGGGTGAATACCATCTCTCAAGACCAATTTTGGGCCATATTGCACCCCAAAGTCAGAAGACAGTAATAATAAATTAGATTTAATATACATAAAAAATAGAAATTAAATAAATAAGCAAACAAACAAATAAATAAATATTTTTGTATTGTTTCCCTAAATTTACTCTCATAACTGTAATGCAAAAAAAAAAAAAAAGATTTAAATAGTATACATCATAATTATATATAGGCCTATATTGAATCACATTTATTAGCATCATCATTTAAAATAATTAGAATTACAAAAAAAGTCCAAAAGCAAAATATACAGACAAAGTAATACAAAATAAGCCCAATTAATCATTCTCATTTATCAGTGTGTAAATTTACAGTAATAAGAAATCGCCTTACCAACCGAGCAATTCATGCTAATCCAATCATTTAATCATCATATCATGTAATAATTTTTTTTATTCATTATTTTTTAAATTAATTTTAATTAATTCAAAGTTTTAATTGATTGACAGCTCTAGTCACAATCCAAAAAAACTTAATGATTCTAAAAATACACTGTGAAAAATAATTTTTCAACTGTTAATAAAACTAAAACCAGAATGTGTTTTACAGGAAAATACTATTTCAGTCTTTCTACTTCAAAATCCCATGTTTAATTCAATGTGTTGCTTGCCGTTTACTTCTAAATTTACTAGAAAATAGTTTAAAAGTAAATCCAAATTTTATTTTAGTGTAAGCTTTATTTTCTATACATTTTACTATTTCTGTCAGGACCACTATCGTCAAAGATGATTGACAATTAGCATACAGTTTGGATTGGCGGTATGGTTCTGTTCTGGGCAAGAACTCCCTGCGCATCCATGCAGCCTAGCATGGATGAGAGCAGGGAGAGCAGCGATAACCCCCCCAGGGTAAACAGAACAGAACCAACATAAATGTATTGCAGATATCGTTAAAGTTCAATAATGGTATGTACACATTTTAGAATTAGTCTGATTCAAAGGAGAATCAGAAGGCTGAATCCTGACTGACAGAGGAGGAGCTGGGGATGGAGGAGGGTAATTAGCTATTGAGCAATGCGAAAACTGCTGATACTACTGCGGGACCTTATATATGAATACTTAGATAGGTGTCGTATTCCCATAGGTTGATGGGGATCAGCTGAGAGTCAGCTGATGCGAGCTTGACTAACGTGACCTGCCAGAACTAACGCTATGCTTGATATTTATCTTGGAGAGAAATGACCTGGGTGTTTTTGTAAGATTCACCTTTATTTTACTCATTTGAATGCATTTCACTGGAAGGCTATAAAGACTTACAGTACTGTGCAGACCAAGTCTGGGAAAGACACAGAGAAGCTCTTTCCCCCTGAATATTAGCTGAAACTTTTGTGTGAATCAGGGGAGGTGAGCTCAAAACAATCTTCTGTCCACTGTTTGTGTGACTGCAGTATGAAAAGTGGCTCTTTGTAGGGGGTTTTTAAAATCAAAGAGAACGCGAGAAAAGGAGGCAAAGAGGGGTCAAAGGGCAAAGTTAGGGATTCCTGAATACCCTCCACCCTCAACACCCCTACTGAGAGACAACAGCTGCATTTTCTGAGCTCAATAAGAGAGACACAGTGTCAATGGAGCCGCCAGAGAAAAGCTGCCACAAACGAGAAAGTGTCAACAATAACAGTCCACCGATGTAGTGTGAGCAAACTAAACTCAGCTTTTGTTATCTATAATTCTTAAGGTATTTCTGTGTTAAATAACCTGGCGAAGCTAAAGGGATGAAGGCATGTGCCGTTCAGTTTGACTGACATGCACATTTGGTGATAAAAGGTCGTCTATGCTGTGTGGATGTCTGTAAGCTGGTGCAGTGAAAAGCCAGGTTAAGTTTGAGACAGCTAAGTAGAGATCAAATCTCCAAATCAGAATCAGAATCAGAATCAATCAGATTTATTGGCAAATATGCTTATACACAAGGGATTTGCCTTAGTGAAGCTTCTAGTAAAAATTAAATTAAATTAAATTAAATTAAATTAAATTAAATTAAATTTAAAAATAATTCACAGAATTAATTCACTAGTCTATCAACTCATAAGAAAAATGCAAAAAAATAAAGAAATAAATAAAGAAAATAATTTTAGAAAGTATTAAGAATGTCAAATAAGACCCCTCAATGAGTTTAGGGTTATTTGGTCAACTTTTGTTTTAGTGTGAAAGTGATCTACCACCTGAAAACATTTGAGAACCACTGCACTAGCCTTATATACATGAAAAAAACAGTCTCTTCTGCGTTTCTATTTCCGGCTCCTACAATCTTAGAGGTTTGACTGTCTCACGGTTCATAGGAGAAAGTTGAAGAAAACATGAAGGAGGATGTTTGTGGGTGGAAATCTGTTTACATGATCACATGCTCTGCGAGCCTTCAAATTAAGCATTACAAGAAAAAGATATTTAATAACCAAAAAGGACAAGAAAACACCATAAACCCCTCATAAACATAATCCATTTGATTAATTTTACAATTCATTCCAAGTCTTCCGTAGCCACAAAAGCTTGTGAGGAATTCAAGTTGTTATACACTACTAATCTTCTCCTCTGCCGCAGCACAAGTCATATCAAAGTGAACGAACATGAGCAAATACTGATTAATTTTTTTAAGATGAATTCTTTAAGACAAACTAATAAGTGGAAGAACGATACATTAAAAAGTTGACAAAATAAAAGTCCTAACTGAGCTAAACACTCACGAAGAGCTATAGCCCAGTGGTTCCATGTGACAACAACTTCTAATCTTAATCAAAAATGCCTCAGATATAAACACTTAACCCTGGTGGGTAAATTTAGCAGAGATAAAAGTATTCACACTACAGTAATCTCATGCTGTAAGTTACGAAAGTTGAAAAAGTTGGCTGCTTTGACTATGAATGCATGAGGTCTTTCTTGTGGTGTTATGTGGTGGGAATCAGACACCACAAAGCCCACTAATCGTATCCATTGAGCTCACTCACATCCAAATGACTAACAAGCTTAAAAGCGCTGTATTAGAGGGCCGAGGCACCCGAGCTTCAGTTACAAATGAGAGGGCAGGGTGTCTCTCTCCTCCACGGCCTGTCTTTCTCCTGATGGATTCTCTCATTGACAGAGCTGGCCTGCTGCCCTGAGAGAGCGCCACTGAGAAAGTCAGCATGTGTACAAAAGGCAGTAGCAGTGTGTACTTCTAAAGCTTTCCTACCGAGTCTTTGGAGACCTGAAGAATGTTTATTGTTCTCCGTGTGCGACTGAAACTCCTCCAAGATTCTGAAACGGTGCCGAACGTTACTCATCCACTCCATATCTAGGCCTACATGAATCACTGGCCATTCCATTTTTGCTCTTTAGTAGACTCTCTAGTAGATTCTCTTCTAGCTCCACCATGACAGTAGCTGAATGAGAAACATCATTGTAGAGGTTTGTATTAATTCAACTATAGCATTTAAGAATGCATACTATAAAGAAATTGTATTGAATGTGCAACTTGTAGTGCGCTTCAAATCTGTTATAATCTATGCACTTTGTAATAATGTCAAAATAAAAGTTTTATATCCGTTTTAATCTTGTCAGTGTTTTAAAGTACACTTATTTTAATGTGTTAACATAAATGTACAGTATTGATTATAATGTTAACTGTAATGTGTTATTTGAGTATTACATTCAAAGTGAATATATTTTAAATGTACTAAAATTCAACACCATTATAAATGTGCAATTCACGACATACATGTTTTAATAGAAATGACATTAAACTATATTTTAGTTTACTATAAATGCTTGTAAGTACATTTGGCACTACACATTAATCATATTTTAATGACAATTGAAGAAATTATGAAATTACGTATAAAGATGCACTTTAAGTCCTAATAAAAAGTGAGTCATCAAAGCACTCTTAAATAAAACTAATTGCATTTAATATAAATGTAATACATTTTAATTTTCATTAATTGCAAATACATAACAAATAGTTTGCACTTAAGTACAGTATATTATTATGTAATAAGCACTTTATTTGTTTACTTTTCATTTTTATTTTTACATGGGATACCCCTTTAAAGTATCAAATCTGTCATCTTTACTTAGAGTATGTTAGCAAAACATCTACTATAATAAAATTTAATATTTGCAATTTGTTGTGATTTGGCTTGCCCACTTAATGGTGTACGACAATTAACATCTTTTAAATTATTTGTTACTGTACATGTAATATGTAACTGAAGCTATAGATTGTGAATTTTCTCGTTCTTTGTTTTTTCAGTTAGCTTACATTTGTTTACCTATGCAAATGTTTAATTTATACGTATATCATTTTTTTGTTTTATCAGGCATTACAAATGACTACCACATGTGATCTTTGCCTTGAAATTGTTGCCTATAGCTCATTATCTTGCTTAGCTCAAACTTTAGGCCTGCTTATTATATAATATATAATGTATAATATACAGTGGGTACGGAAAGTATTCAGACCCCCTTAAATTTTTCACTCTTTGTTATATTTGTTATATTTGAAAAATTTAAGGGGGTCTGAATACTTTCCGTACCCACTGTATATCCTGCTTTTTAGCAATAAGTAGCACAAAGCCATTTACTATTAAACACAGACTATTCTGCTTAGCTGGCCTTGTCATTTACTAGCGTATACATTGTTTAGCTAGTCTTCAGTATAGTCTGCTCATCACTGTGGACACGTGCTTAGTTGTCTGAGCTGTGAATAAGTGAAGTTTGGCGCACATTCCGCAGCCTGGGGGGTCAATAGAGGGAATGTTTGCTCCACCCCTCCTCTCCCATCAGAAACAAGTGTTCGCATGGAAAGCAAGAGTGGATGAAAGAAACATTTGGTGCATTTAGTGTCCCTCTCAATGGTGACATGACATCAGTCTTCTCCATCGGCAGGAGATGAGGGACAACAAAGGCAGTAGTGGGGGGTGGGGGAGAGAGAGAGAGGGATGGAAAAGAGAGTTTCTTCCATCCAAACCCTCCAGAACTCAACAAAGCTTCCACATAGTCGGCTGTCGTGCTGTTCCTGAAGCTCTGCTTGTGTATTCTGGGGTATTTCCAGCAGTGATATAACAGCTTCCTGTTTGAGGGAGTTTGAGCTCATTGAGACTCAATTATCCTGAATAAATTCACTGCACTGACTGCTCCCAAATGGTACCTGAATAATACTGTTGAATAGGAATAGAGGGATCATATAATAAAAACTGGATTTATTTCATATGCAGAATGGTTAGCAAAGTCAAGCCAAGGCATTTCTCTCAGCAGTTGCATGTGACACAGGAATGAGACAAGCTACATAAACTTGAAATGAACTGGGAAGGACGTATGGACGGATGAACAGATAGATAGATAGATAGATAGAAGATAGATAGATAGAATAGA